TATGAAACAAAATTGAAAAAATAATTATCGTTTTATCCATATATTAATAAGATCAACTTCAAGGGAGAAACCACTGATTATATATATATAATAAACATTAAAAAATTTCCAAAAAATTTCTACAGATTTGCTGATGCTTGAAGAGAACGATTTTATTCTCTAAATTCCATGGTATATATTTGATGATTATCTGATGTTACGTCTTCTTTTAAACATTAGAAAATGCATCTTCCATTGTAATATACCTTACGAAATTTTGAAAAATATATTTTATGTAGTATAATGATAGAAGTAAATCGAAGGAAATATTTTCAATTATATAAGCCCAAAAAAATTCCTAATTTCTCTTTGAAAACTTCAAGGATTTTTTTAAAAAATTATAGCTTAAGGGATTTGAAATTTGAAGCAAAGAAACTTTAATGGTTTTTTAGTCATTTGCTTTTAGCAAGGGCTACAATTTACTTGGAGCACAACGGGTTCAGTCTTTTCTAGTAATTTATATATATAAAATGGCCTTTTTGTCTGCTTTCGTCAGTAGTGTGATAAACAGTTTGGCTTCTTAAATCTATTAAATACTTTTTATGAATATAGAAAAACAATACATGATTTAGAAATTTTACGTCTTAGTTTTCTAATGTTTTCGATAGAGTCTTATAAAGCTGACGACTTTTGGGAAGATTTTCACGAAAATGAATATCTGTCTGAAAACAGAATATTCAAATCATCAAATTTTTAATTCTGATGAAGGTATTTGAGGTAGAAAATACCTTGTAAAAATGAATTGAAAAATTACGAGATCCGTCAACAAAAAACATCCATTTGCCTTTAATGTGCTGCTTAACACTCTGTCATCACTTGCCATGCGCACGAACTGAATCTCACGACTTAAGTCCCAAATACTACCTTTTATTTTTAACATAATTTTACGGCAGATCTCTCTATCTTTTAACAGAAATTATGGTAAAAGTAAAAATCTCAGTTCATTTTATTGGTATAATAGTTTTATCTACATGCGTATTTATTGATAATTTGAAAGGATTTACAAAAAAAAATTTGTTAAAAACCACCTAAATAAGAAAGTTTTTAAAATTTCTGTAATATTTCGAAATATTCTGTTATTGATACAGTAATTATAAAAAAAAAGAAAAGGGCATTGCATATATATATATATGTCATTTTGTAATACTTAAGGTAGATAACGCATTTTGAAAATAAAGTCGATTGATACTTTTGAATTTCTAAAACATAAGCACTCGGTGGTAGGAACAAAATAACTTTATTTAACTTAAATTATAGTTTATTTACCAGTATACTTAAATGAACGTGAATGCAATTAAATAATTACTTTGCTATACAGTTTAAATTTTGTACAAAAGTTTCCAACACGCATTAATAAATTCTATGTTTCAGTATTCTGCTTTTCTTTTTTTGAAAATTCGCTTAGCAAAAGTATGATTCGCACTTCTGTCAAATAGAAATGCGCAACCTCTATTTCCTGTTTTCTTTACATTCCCATATTTTCAGTTCCAGTATACTTATTCAAAGCAAATGTATAGCTTAATATCCTCTTCTACTGTCATCTAATTAAAGAAGGATTCCTCGCAAGGAGGACAACAACGTATTTCAAAACATTTTGTATATGCATTTCTTCTCACACGAGCCGCTTTATATCTCGTGTGAAGACGATGATGTTTTTTAGGTGATTTTTTTGTCTAAATTTATTGTCCCACACATTACACTTACACAGCTTTCTTCCTAAATGAAACAATTTATGTTAATTTAGGTGACTTTTCTTTCTAAAATTTTTTTATCGCTCCTCACACTTTTAGGTCTTTTCTTTGATATGTTGCTCTAAATTCATTGGTACACTTATACAGCTTTCCTACTGTATGGATATGATTATGATCATTTAGAGGAATTTTTTGCCTGAATTCCTTTGAACATACATTTCACTTATACGGTGTTTCTTATGAATATGATAATAGGACTTTCTGACTAAACTCCTACTCACATAGGCTTTCTTCCTTCATGGATATGATTGTGTTTATCTAGTTCATATTTCTGCCTAAATTCCTTTTTACACTCATCACACTTATTTGCCTTTTCTCCTGCTCGAACAAGACGATTGCGTTTTTGTATTAGATTCAATAGTCAACGTTTCTTTTACGTAATACTTCACTCTCATATGTCTTCTGTACTTTTAGAATTATAATATTTTCTATGATATTCCGGATTTCTGATGGAATCCATTCTTGAATCCATACCACCTTTATGTGATCTTTCTATTATTCATGCAGAGTGAGACTTAAAATTTCCCTCTTTACCTGTTTTCAAATATTCCACATGTATATGTAAGTTTTTATTAATATAGTGACCAGAGAACGTGATCCATTTTTTTAATTCAAATACCGATTGCAAATTTCATGTTCCTTTTGGTTGTTTCCTCTTGAATGGATTTTAAACTGTAAGTGACGAATTAGTTGCAAAATCTCTTTCTATTATTCGCTTCCATGTTCTTTTTAGGATATGTAAGAGGAAATTTCCTCTTTTGTTCAAAAATATTCCAATTAATTTTTCATTTTGCGTAAATAATATTGGATTTACTCAGAGAATATTAATTTCTTTCGGTTCTTTTATTGAGTGTTTCCCTGAAGATTTTGTATTGACTCTCCTTGTATTGCGATGATGACATCTTCTCCAATGAAATGCCATCATGTTCTTCTGTGGCAGGTCGTTGATTTGAATTAAATTATGGATTCATTTCTTGCTTTCTAAATTTCATTTCACTGTACTCATGTGGTATAGTTAATTGTTTTGTTTCAAACTGTTGACTCATTTCATAACTATCAAATTATATTTTTCTGTATCCGCCTGACACAGGTATAATTGATTTTTATCCAAATCACGATTCATTTCAAAAGTACGAAATTGTATTGGCCTGCATCCAATGGACTCTGCAAAATGTGATTTCTGTAAAATTGTTTCTGGGTTACATGAGGATAACTTTCCACTGGGTGGCATTCATACAAAATTGAGGGTTGACTTGTATAGACTTGAGGATTCAAGCATATATGTTGTTGTGTTGTTGTGACTAATGCCACCTGTCTGACAAAGTCAAATCGAGGTGCTAAAAATTCATCACGGCTAAGGGCTATAATTTTACGCTGGTCGTTATCCTTAGCTTTGAGCACCATAGTGACAGTATCGCTTGCTCGGTTCCTCCCCAATTTGTAGTGGAGAAAACCCTGGGGTGGCCATATTGGCCTCCATCCCTTTCACCAGCCACACCAGAGGACTTTGCGGCTCGACGGCTATTTAGGAGTACCCCTATGCCCGCAAAGGCCCCAGAGCACATTTACAAACATCCATGTCTTCTTCTCCTGGATTCGAACTCAGTCCATAGCTTGGCACCGCAAATTAGCGTCGCTAACCACTCTACCGGCTAAGTACTCCAGCATATCTATTTCAATTTGTCTGTATTTCAGTGATATATTGCCCTCTGAATATGAATAAAATCCATCAGTTGGTTCCTTGTGTTATTAGGTGACGATGTTGGAACAAGAGAGAGAGAGAAAAGGCATTGCTCTGCTTTCAGTTATTATATTTGATGAAATTGATATGCGATTCGATCACAACAATCAGAAGGAGAATTAAATAAATACATCTCCAGATATGTAAATCTTTTCCTTGTTCTCCAGTTGTTCATTTAAAGTGGATTTGCCAATCTGTATTTCACAAAAAGTCTTAAAAATGTTCATAGAGTTTGTCGACGATCCATCCTTTTTGTTGATTACTGGTTGAAGATCTGTTTCATCCTGCTTTTGATATTTATGGCTAAAAAATGTTTAAAGTACTTGAAATGCATTTGTTAAGATTCACTCCGATATTCTCCTGCTGATTGATCCAATGATTCTTATGAACACCAACTGCAGAACTTCCTATTGGAAGTAGTTGTTATGCAAAAGATTTTCCAACCACTTGGTTGTAAAGATTATGTTTAAGGATATTCAAATATATATATACAGGAATCCATTGGGCCATCATTGGACTAAAGGCTGCTGATACCGACACCTCAATGCCTCCCCGTATTATTAGATTCTTTCCTCTCATGTTTTCCTGCTGTATAATCAGATTTTTCTTGTAACTTAATTTTTGGTTATCTCCAAAATAAATTCTCTTCAAAGCAACAAACTAAATAGAATTTACTTTTATAGGAGATCAAAACATTCGACCAAAATGCTCTATTTTTATTCGATTCTTTTGCAGAGGATTTATTTTTATTAGTCTTGCAGATATATGATTTTCTAATGGCAACTCTGAATTTGTAATCTGTCTAATGAAGAATTCTGTGGACTTTTTGGACATAATTGCTGTTAAAGCCTTCTGCAAGTGTGTTTCATTCATAACTCTTGAAGAAATTTTTGGTTTAAGCTTAGCAGTATTGACAAGTTCTTTCTTTTCTGACAGTCTGCTTTTTTGTATTGTAACATCGGTTGCTTTTGTCCCCCTATCAATCAATCGGAAACTATTTTTCACAGTTCTTCCTACACTTCTACTTCTATCTTTTTTTATTTCACCAACTTCTATCAGGTATTTTTCACATTATATAAATGCAGGATTATTCAATTCCTAATATTAGTACACGCTCTCCCTCTCTCTATATATTTATATACCACAAATTTAAAAAATGTATTTGACTTGAATGAATGAATAGAAAATATTTTATTACAGATGTAAAATTTGAGCAAGATATATATATATATATATATATATATATATATATTTCAAATTTACGATTGTTAATAAAACACTTTCTATTCATTCATTCAAGTTCAAATACATTTCTTTAAACTTGTTCTGGATGACTAATGATGTTAAAAAAGTTTTTTAAAATATAAATTCATTAATTAAGATAAAAAATGAGAGAATAAATAGTAACAAACAGAAATAGTAGTCCAAATCATACATAGAAAGGAAAATCTTTCAATGTGTCCCTGTAGTGCGATGGATAGCGCGTTGGACTTTTAATACAATTACCGTGGTTTCGAATCCACTCTGGGATAGTCTTATTTCTGAGTATATGATTTCTTTTTACTATTCTATTTTATTAGAATAATTACATTTAATGAATAAATATTAACAAACACAAATAATTGTCCAACAGCATATGCAAGAAGGAAAATGGAAAATTGCGAGGAAAATCGCTTTCTATTTTGTAACTTAATAGTGGGATTCTGTCATATGTATATACATATTTTTATATTAATGTAACTATTTAACAAAAAGAAACTAAAATAAATTTTTATTTGTTGGCTTAGGTAGGAATTGACTTTTTTTATATATTACTTGTTTTTCGATTTTTAATCTTAGTATCCACATACACACACCACTAGCCATTTAAAAATTTCCTTGAACTATAAACAAAATAAAAAAATCATTTTTATTTCAGATTGATTAAATCATTAACAAAATTTAAACATTAATTGAACTTAAATAATGAAGAAATATTTCTGATTTTGCATAAATCTCATCGCTTTCCTAACGCTTTTGTCCTTGATTTTGATGGATTGTACAGTTCCATTTTTCGAAAGATTGTCTATTTTAATTCAAATATTTGTAGTTTTCTTCATAAGATTGTAAATATTATGTAAATACGGTTTTGTTAAAAGTAAGGAATTGTAGAATTCTTACCCCATCTTTCCAGAAAATGTATATGTGCAATCCCTTATGTCTATAGGTTTGTATTTTGCATAATTTTTTAACACAACTCTGCTTTCGGGAGTCCCAATGATATAAATATAACATTGATTGAAATTCGTTTCATCTAATTGATTAAAATAATTTTCTTGATCTGTTCTTTCATATAAAATAAAACTACAGAAATTAATTCTTAAAAAGTCTTATTTGCTGCTTAATTCTACTTGCATGAATTCATAGTTTAGCAAAATAATCCAAAGTAAAAATCTTCACAACATAAGATGAATAGTTTGAAAAAACCAAAAAAAAGAGGCAAATAAGTTCACATAACCAAAGCACAAAGGATTTATTTTGCAAAATTTTTGCCAAATTTTCCCATCCGATGCATCATTTCCATAATATATTCATTTAGATTCAAGAACAAAAGAGATGAATATTTTTCCATCCTAGAAATCCGATTTCCTTGAAGCATTCAACAGGGAAATTTATGGGCATTGAAGGAAAACACACAAATATTTAAAGTGCGCTTCTAAAAATCAAACAAATGTACCCTGAAAAGAAGAATCAACATTTAAGAGAAGCATTTAGCTTCGATTCACACTCTAGAAAATTAATTGTTTGGCTATAACTAAGCTTAAGATAGTTTTATTTCAAATACACTTATCGTGTGATCAACGTTCGTAGAAGAGTTAGAATAGCAACAAATGTAATCCGTGGAAGGTCTTTCCACAATCTTGTGTGAAATTATGAGTGAAGCCTTTTTTTTTCGAATCGCTTGAATGGGTTGTGTACTATCTCTTAAAATAAAAATTAAAACTACACTTAAACCACAAGAAGAATCATCGAACAACTAAAACAAAAATAATAAGTGACAATATTATACTTTTTAAAATGATGATATTTTAATTACTTTTTGGTAAAATTTGCAGTATTTCTATAATTTTCCCCTTTTTATAATTTAAATACTATGCAAAACATGTCTCACAATATGGTTCAGTTTACCTTACATTTCTCAATCTAGTATGTCATACAATTAATTTTAATTAAGTTAGTAGACAATTATAAAATATTATGAAACGTTTTGTGACCGTTTCTCACCAATTTTTTTTTTCTTATAAATCCCTAAAACTTCAAAATATATCTTTTAACATAGGTATCAAAAATGCTTAAATCTTACATCAAAATTTGTTTCTCATAATTTTCTTTAATTTTTATCATTCATGTATTCATTTTAACATATAACTTTGATAAATGCGGCACATATATTAAAACGGAAAGTGAGTGTATATTAATCTTGAATTGTAAGACAACACACGGCTATTGGCAACAAATCTTGTAATTTTGAACCATGATCTTTTACGAGGACCAGAGCTAGCACCCTTTTCGAACTATCACACCTCCGGAAGGACTTTGAGCCTTGACAAATCTTACGTGCATTGACTAGGGTTTCTTTCCTGCTTCCCGGGAAATCATGTAAAGTTTCTGTATTTTTTCAATTCCTGGGAATTATACTTCGTTCCCGGGATTTCTAAGGAGTACATGGTTTGATAAAAAGATGGTTTGTTTGGACACTAAAACAAGAGCTAAAAAATAGTTTGTTGGCAATGCATGAAAGAATTTTTAGAAATAAAGTCAGCAATTTAAAAAAAAAAACTTAATTACATTGAAGAAGAACGAATAATGGCCAATGTAGATCTTGAAACTGGGACTACAATTGTAGTAGGCTTAACGAAAGTAAAAAATATCTTACAAGGAGAGGACATTAATAAGGAAATTCATTTGGGATCGACACTTGGTGTAGTAGTAGTACTCCTTTAGGTGTTCAACCCTCAATGTAATTCCGCCGAATGGTCAGTGAATTCGGAGAAGAAAACCTTCGAAATTCATGCTTAGCTTTTATACAATTAAATTTCAATTTCCTCCAACGATTTCGTAGCTTGGATTATATATTGTCTGCATACTATGCGAGAGGTCTGGATTCGATTTTTTCGATCCAGTGTGTTCATAGTGTGTATAGTGTTCAACCAAAAAAGTACTTGTTTCAATAAAATCATGAAACAAGAGGTGCAGTTGTTTGACTCGAATGAAAATCCATCACCAAACATAATAAAACTAAGTGAGGCTTTAAAAACAATTCCCCCAACGCCAGTCGAAGGCGAGAGAGCATTTTCTGCTGCCGGATTGTTTGTCATAAAGCTTATAACTAGGCTGAGTGATAAAATTATAAATTGATTATGGTTTTTGAGATCCTATTTTAAAAATAAATAATCAATTTATTATGTATTATTTGTATTTTTCAGATCATTATATAAATAAGCATTAATTTTGGAATTTATATGTATCCTTATTTTATAAAATTATTATTGGTTTCATTTAAAAATAACTTATTTTTAATTTTTTTTAAAGTTTTGATGTATTCCGGGGAATTCCGGGAGCGACAATTAGATTCCCGGGAAATCAGAAGCCCTTGCATCGACCCTTTCTACACGAGGTTCTTCGGTGGCACTAGGGTCGAACTCATGACAATCCGGCATCGAGTCGCTGACCTTAATCACAGAAGTATCACACCTACATATTAAAACCTGAGAGCTTGCGAAGATTGCTAATGCATGAAAATGCTCACGTGATATTTTCTCCAGCATTAGTAATGTTAACTATTTTTTCAGTGTAAAAATATAACCTTATTCGAAATTTCACTTCTTGTATCCTCATCTCCTGTCAACTATAAAAGGGACTATTATAGTTGGTATATAAAAGAGACTATTCAAATAAATTTGTATCTCTCTTTCTTTCTATTTTACTGTATTTATTCGAATCTAAGCCGTAATCGATTCTAACAGTAAAACATCCGTTTATATTCGGTTGTCCTTAAAAGTCCACCGGATTCCTTTAGACGCTGCAATATAAAATTATTGTAATGCCTAAATAATGACAGGATTACTGTTCAAAAGTTAGTTTTAAGACATTTTAATATCATTTCATGTACTTATCATATTGTATGGCCCTTTATATCATAAAAAAATTGACGTTGGCATTATAATTCGCAAAGGTTGTTGGACCATTGCTTTGTTGCTAAACATTTCGATTCTTCATTTCAGGGTATCTGCTGAGCCCAAGGCTCGAAAATAGAATGAAACCTTTTTTATAAGCAGATTTGCAAATGCTATGTAATGAAACATTTAAGCACAACGATGTTAGTATAACAGAATCATTTTCGCTGTGAACCCAATATCACTAAGTTGAAGGTCAAATAAAGTTGTGCCATAATATTTGCGGAAGTTTTCTTACTAATAGTATCTACTTAGTAGACTCAATTTTGTTGAATGACAGCCATAAATTGCCTTGCTGTCGATAGATGATTGATTGAATATTAACGTCGCACTGTTCAGCTACACTAGGGCACCAACGGGAGGACGTTTGAGCTATGGACAGATGTAACGTTCATCCCTCCCCTACACGGCGGGTTTTTAGTTGTACTAGGCTCGAACTCGTGAAGAGGCAAGCCACGATCCGATACCTATATCACTCGGCTACCGCGGCCCCTGCCAGGTGTCGAAATGACACCAGAGGATGTATTAGGTATATTTAGTTGTAAAATCTCTCCTAATTAACCTAAAACCACAAAACTTTATTCCTGTGCAATAACCATGGAGAATAATTAAAAGTCATGAAATTTTTCAAACTACATGCAAAAATGTGTAAAGGAGAACCAACTAAACAGTCTCCGGTGTCTATTCGGCACCGACGGACGTTCTAGTATTAAGTCGCACCCCAAATTCTCAACAAGATTTTGTGAAAAAGGAAAAATAGTGCAAAATGGCTTATCGAAAGTCAATTTTACGAAATTAAAATTAATTTAAAATGAGAACTAATATGAAGTAAATAATAAGTTATTTTATCAGTATTAAAAAAAACTTTTAATTACAAACATGTGTGATACCCTCGGTCCCGGGGGTATCATTTCTTCATCTACATGATCTAGATTTGTAGGAGTAAATGATTGATCACCCTATTTCGCCATAATAAATCTAATTTATTATTGTCTAAATATATTGATCAACACGACACAAATCTTAGTATAAGGATTCGATCAGGAGTGATACAACGTAATTTTAAGTAAATAGCGCCTAGAATCCTAATCACTATCTTTATTGAAAGCTATCCTAAGAATCTTTATCTGTCTTAGATTCGTAAAACACATTAAAACCCTTTATATAATTATGCTTCTATGTTTAATATCTTACCAATAGCTCTCGGCGTTCAGTATCTCAGTTCTAAGTCTCCTTCTATTCTACCATTCTTCTCTATCATTCTAACACGCGAATACTAAAGCTCCAATATATATCTAATAATAAAATCTGGAAAA